AGTTCAGGGCCAAGTGATGTGCCCATCACCTGTACCCACCCAGCAGAGGTTCCCGGATTTGAGCTGGCTCTGGGGAGAAGCCCCTCACCCCACCCCTGGCATTTGGGCACCTCTGCTGCCCCGTCCCTTTGTCCACAGTGCGGCTTGCGGGGAAGAGAGCCAGCCACCAGGCAGCTAAGCGCGGTGGAGCAGAAGAGCCAGAGGGAGCCATCTCCAGGTGTGAGGGAAAAAATAACACATGTTTAATTAAGCCGACATGCAGGGGACCCTGCCGGCACGGTCATTATGCGCTCGGATGTTAATCTAAAAGATTTGCTGTTTGAGAGCCATTCCTCGGGAGAAAGATGAGGCATACAGGCATACAGCATCGGAAACCCGTCAGGGCATTCCTACTGCCCTGCAGGGTCACCGTGCGCGGGAACGGACTCGACCCGTGGCACTGGGTTTGGCTGCTGCCCCTGCCGGCCTCTCGGCTCCTTATACCCGAGCAGCTAAGACGCGGCTGTGACGCTGGGAGCCCTGCCGGTTTCTTACACCAGCAGGGCCCCCGCTGGTGGGCAGGCTTCCTTTAAGGAAGCTTCCAGGCTAAGACGGACCAGGAGGAAAGGCCTGGGGGGGAGGGGGAAGAACCCCCTGGGGGGGGTCACAGCCAAAGGTTGCCCTAAACGGTGGAACCAGCTGGAAGGTGATCAAGCCACACAGAGGCACAACAAGGACTCTGGCCCATGGGCCATTGTGGGCAAGGGGCAGGACCGGGTGATGAGTCCCCGGGCTCCGTGGCAACCAACCAGAATCCACCGAGCGTGGCCACGTGTGTGCCCAGTAATCTCCCTCTGTGCCCTCGGCCCTGGTGCACACCCACCTTGGGGATGCGGCTGATGATGTCGGGGTACTTCCCGGTGTTGTCTTCCTGATTCCGACTGAAGATCTTTACCTCCCCGTCTTCCCGGACATGGATCTGACCAGCCAGGGGTGAAGAGGGAAGTCAGGGCCAGTTCAGGGGCACCCTCTTCCCAGACCCCACCCGCACTAGCAGAAGGTTCCAGAAGCTCATGAAGGGCTGGCATAAGCACCTGGGTGTATCATCTCCTCAGTCCCCATCATTGGTGGATCCCCGGAAACACTTATCTTGCTGTGCGTACAGATATGGATCCCTCCAAATGTTATTAAGCCTCATGATAGGTGAGCCCTACATATTGGTCCAGCTTTCATAGATCCTCTACCACAGTTCTTAGCCTGTGGGTCACGACCCCTTTGAGATTGAACAACCCTTTCACAGGGGTTGCCTAAGACCATCGGCAAACACTTATTTCCGATGGTCTTGGGAACAGAGACACCACTCCTCTATCCGTCTCCAGGCGGGTCTGCCCACGTGCAGATATGCCCACATACGGGGGTCGTCACAACATGAGGAACTGTATTAAAGGGTCGCAGCATTGGGAAGGTTGAGAACCACTGCTCTACTATGTTCTTTCTTACTGTATAAAGTAACATTTCTCCGTGTGTAGGCTCTATCCCACACCTTCTCCCCAGGTTGGGGAGCGACACCCAATACATGCCTTGGCAGCACCTGAGCTCACTCAGAGTCACCCTCTAGAGTCCTTTGGTCTCTCTCCTCCACCACACATGGGATCTTACGGGCACCTCGAGGGCCCTACCTGGCCCAGGTGAAGGGAGTGCTCTTTCCCTAACTGCCTGCACTTGGGGACAGTATGTATGCCCCCTGCCCTGCTCCCCCTGCTCCCCACCACCACCAGGTCAGGGCCACGGACTGTTTAGGTAGGCTCCCCACCCCAACCTGGGTCACAGGTGTGTGCCCCCACCTGTGCACGCTGCCCATCATATTTGTACTCGCAGGTGAAAGCTGCCTCCTCGAAGCGCTTCAGGACCTCGCTGACGCCCCGAGTGGGGTGGGCCAACATGGGTTTCAAGGGGACCCCTGGGTAGGGCGGGAGAGAGAAGGCGGTAAGTTAGAGGGGGGCCAACTCAGAGGGACGGACCCCCAGCCCCCTCCAGGGCCCACTGCAGTGACCGGTGCCCCCAAGCAGAACGGCCCATAGTGTTCTCTTGGCGGCAACCTTTCCGGGAGCAGACTGCCAGGCCTTCTCCCATAGAGCCCTTGGTGCGGGGGTGGGGGTGGGTCACTCTTAGTAACCAAGCGCTTAACCGCTGCACCACCACTCCCCCCCAGGGCTCATAAAACCAAGCAGGCGGTCTCGGGGTGCATCTGACTCAGAGACCTTACAGGGCATGGTGGGCAGCCCCACAGGAGGCTAATAGCAAAGATGACCGCTGAAAGAAGCAGCCATCTGCTCCCATGAGGATTTTCGACCTCGGACACCCTCTCCCCGGTGCTTCCCTGTCCCAAGAGGGCCGCTCTGGGCCGGAAGGGCCATGACAGTGATGGGTTGGGTGGCATCTTGATGGAAACGGACTGCTACTGCCACGTCCTGGCGCCTGCTGTGCGGCCGGCAGGTACAAACCGCCCGACTTGCAGTTAGCAGTTGTGTGCTGAACCGTTGCGTCCTCATCCGGGGTCCCTGTCCTTCCCCCACCCATAAAGAAAGCTCCACGCAGAAGTGGGAGGGGTATTCGCACGGGGCACCGGGAGGAGGGGCCGGGGAGGGCCGGGCACCTGGGCTCAGTCTGCAGTGCTCCGGCAGCCGCTCCAGGCCGTGCTCCAGGAGCACCGGCACGATGCGGTCCAGGTCCGGAACCTCGCTGGCGGAGGGAGAGAGATGAGGGGCGAGGCAACCAGGGAGGGGAGAGCGCGGGGAGGTAGTGAGGGGCAAGGTGGGGCGGGATGAGGGAGAGGAGGGCAGGGCTGGGCAAAGAGGAAGTTAGGGGGGTCAGGGCAAGGTGGGAGGTACCCAGAAGCGGAAAACAGCTACGAACAGGCAAGTTCAGGGCCAAGTGATGTGCCCATCACCTGTACCCACCCAGCAGAGGTTCCCGGATTTGAGCTGGCTCTGGGGAGAAGCCCCTCACCCCACCCGTGGCATTTGGGCACCTCTGCTGCCCCGTCCCTTTGTCCACAGTGGGGCTTGCTGGCCTACCCTTCTTCGCCACCACGGCCGGGGGACCTTCCATGTACACTGTCTAGCCCCCAGACTCGGCCTCCCCACCATCAGGCTCTGCAGTAGCCCCCCACTTCCTCACCAGACCACGGACTTCACATGAGAAGTGGTCAAGGCCAGTTTAAAACAAGACGAAGCAAAAGCTTTGGCCAGCCTCGACTGCCAGATATCTGGGCAGGTGGGGCTGAATCCTTCCCAGACTCCAACCTGATGGCAGTGGGGGCCACAGCCCGCAACTGGCCACCCCCTCACACTGTGTCTGTCTCTGCCCCCTGCTCGGGACCCTGCCCCATCTCTGCAGACCCCTCCTTCCCTACCCCCAGCTGCGTCTCTGCTCCTCCGCCCCTCAGTCGGCCTCCTCCTGCCCTGTGTCCAGCCTGTGTCACCCTCTTGTGGACGCCATCACCCCAAACCCGGGCACCAGCCCTGTGGCAGTGACGATGCCCGTTTATGCCAGGCTAGTCCTTCCAACGTGGCCAGCCTCACACACTCTGCCTCTTAAGCTGCATACACATCTGCTGTTCCACCCTAAACCCTTGAGACCCCCCTCGCCCTCCCATCCTGGGACCTCCCATACAGCTCCCCACCCGTCCTCCATTCCTTCCTCCCACCCAGCCTCACCTGAATGTCTGCTTCAGGACCATGCCCTGCTCATCCAGCCACGACTTTCTGGCCTCTGCTGTCCTGCCCTTCCCGGCATCCACCACGGCAGGGGGGAATTCTGAGAAGGGACCCGGGAAGGCTGAGTCCAGTCTACCATCCCACTCCCCACACAGTGAGGGGTGTTTGTGAGAAAGGGCTGTTACAGATGGAGGGACACTTCCTCTGCAAAGGGAGGTGGCTGGAGGGTGGTGTTGGAGGGATGGCAGAAGGCAGGGGCCCTAGGGGAAAGGCCAGGGGAGGGACCCTGGGTTAAGGAGTCATGGGTCTCAAGATTGCCCAAAGGGGCTCACCTTGGCCGGGAGGTGTGAGGCTCACGGCCTGGGCCAGGGCGGCCAGGACCGACTGCTCTGCCAGCCCGAGGCGCAGCCGGCCGCTCAGGGACCTGGGAGAACAGGGAGGCGGCAACCCACTCAGTCAGTCACCTCTCCACCTTTCCATCTGCACCCGCTCCTCCACCCCCCTCTATCTCCCACCTCAACCCTTTGTGCACCCCGCGGAAGGCCAGACCATCTTTCTGAAAACTAGATTTGTTTTCTGTGGCTGAGAGGCACACGCGCCAATTCCACAACCGTCTACCTGCACCACTGGGGAGGCGTGGAGTCCACGTGGAAGCATTCCCATTCTTTTCCGGATGGTTCTTCACCCTCTAAGATAAACTCACTGCTCCCCACCCCCCACCTCCACCCCTAACTTCCCAAGTACCCTTTCCTGCTGTGGTTGGTCTGTTTGATCCCGAATAAACCGTGGCATTGCTGTCACTCGGATCCGATGGCACTTCACCACAAACCAAATAGCAAACCAAATCGACTGCCCCGGAGTCGATTCCGACCCACAGCGTCCCCTCCACGGCAGACTGGAGCTTCCCGACCAGGTTTCCATCTCAATGGGAGCAGCCTGCCCCACCCCACCCTCCAGGTACCAGGTGTGCGCTTTAACCGCTGCGCTACCAGGACCCTGACAGGCCCCCACACAGCACCATGCTCCAGGCAAAGTCTTCCCTGGCGAAGCTGAGCTACTGGCTGGTTTTCAGCAGCAGGAAGAGACGTGAGAGGCCTTGGAGTGCCACCCAACAGAGCAAATGGAAGCTGGCTGGTGGCAGCCCCGACCACCCCAGCCCATGGTTACGGGGGTGGAGGGTGGACCCAGGTGCTCTCCTGCCCTGTGAGAGGGTGTGGGGAGGAAGAAGGTGAGCACAGCCCAGCCTGGCAGCCCTTGGTTAACCCAGTGACCTCAGTAAGTGGCTCCGCCTCTCTGTGCCTGTTTCCCCTTCTGTAGGCCAGGGCCACCACGCAGTTTATGGGAGAGGAAAGGTCTGTGGGAGGGCTCCCATGGAGAGCTCGTTAATATTAATGATTTTGTTTCCCTGGCGGAAGCCACCCCCCAGTTCAGGTGGTGTGCTGAGGTCGAAGCAGACTTCACCAATCGAACAGGGCACACCAAGTTCAGGGGTTACATTTCCTGCCAACCGGCCCGAGGTAGACATCACTCATCAATCATGACACCCGGCTTAGGTGCTGCCCCACCTGTCTTCTCGAACCTGCTTTCCGGACCTTCCCGACTCAGAGTAGACGTCCTTAGGGTTCCTGAGACTGTACACCCCTACAATAGCAGGCGGCCTTATCTTTCTGCGGAGCAGCTATGGCTGAGGGGCTCCGATCGATGATCTTGAGATGACATCACTAGCTCATCACACCACTCTCTACCTTGAGTGTGGACATGCCCCTCCCCCTCCCACTCCCACACCAGTGTAGGCCCCCTACTCCTGGTTCTCCTGTCCAGGGGTGGCCGGCCAGGGTGTCAGCGTGATGCCAGCTGCCCGCCACGCCACCTCCCAGCTCTGGGTCCCACAGGAGGGTACTCACACATACGCATACTCACCGTGCGATGAATCGGGCCTCTGAGTGACGGCAGGCCACAAAGAGGCCTTTGATGACCTCTATCTTCTTGGCTGTGGACTGCAAGTGGCCAGGGGAGAACAGTGAGGGGCTGGCAGGAGGGGGGAACCCACACTTCCTCCCCCTCCTCAACCCCCTTGCCCTCCCTGGGCAGTAGCCGGAGGAGGAGGCTGGCTCTCCTCCTTGCCTGCCTCCCTCACCAGCTAGTATTCAGAGTCCTGTCATACAGGGGGAGTCGGGAGGTGTGTTCAAAAGGTGAGCAGCTAAATGAAGGGCGAGAGGTTCAGATCCACCCACAGGTGCCTCAGAAGAAAAGCCTGGCCACCTACGTCTGAAAAACCAGCTACTGAAAACCCTGTGGGTGCCGTCTGACACACGAGTGGTGGCTGGGGTGCCAAGAGCAGCACGCAGCCCTCAGAGCACGGTTTCTGTTCAGGGCGGTCAGAGCCCACCCCGTGTGGCAGAGCAGGGCTGCCCGACAAGGTTTCTGCGAGGGAGTCATCTGCACAGAAATAGGCCACCAGGCCTTTCTTCTGCACAGCCGCCAGGCGGGTTCGAACCACTGACTTGCAGGTTTGGCAGCTGAACTAGCCCCCTGTCGGTGTCTGGATTCCAATGCACAGCAAGCCCGAAGGGCAGAGTTCAGGGGCCGCAGGGGATTTGAGACGTCAATCTTACCACCTGACCAGAAGACTGCCTGCCACACGTTGGGCTCCAGGGCCCCTTCCCAGAGGCTCTGGCCAAGCTCGTGACCCACCCTGCCCACTCACCGTACTGCCGGCCAGCCGGGCGATGTCCCGGAACTTGGTGAAGACCCCGGCGGCGGTGAGTGGCGGAGGGGGCAGCATGATCCTCTGTGTGCTGCGGCTGCTCTCGGCCACCAGCCCCACGTCACCCTTCTCGGCTGCCTCTGCTCGGATCGACTCCAGCTGCCGGCCTTGGGGAAAGGGTGCGGAGCACACGGTTGGCAAGGGGAGGGGAAAGGTCTGGGGGACTCCCCGGCTGAGTGCACCTAGGGTGGGGCTGGGGTCCCCAGTTCTTGAGTGCACCCAGGTTCCCCACAAGGGGCAAACAACAGGTAAGTGCTATTTGCTGAGAGGCTGGTAATCTGAACTGACCGGGAGGCGCCCGGGAAGAAAGGCCTGGCTGTCTGCTTCGGAGAGGCAGTCATGAGAGACTTCCGGACCCAGTCTTTCTGGTGCACCCCCAGGGCCACCCAACTTCAGAGCCAGCACGCCGGCATCCGGTATGGTTTTGCCTGTTACCTGGTTAAAATGGCTGGTTCTGTCTCTATCTGCCAAGCCCCGCTCCCCACAGCTCTGCTGATGTCCTGTCTATGCCTGTGAATGGGAGCATTTGGAAACGGGGTCTCTGAAGAGGCTGTCAGTTTAGTGGACAGGGTCCTACTGGCGTCGGGTCTCCCCGAGACCAGATCCAGACAGTCACGTGGAACAAGACACTGTTGGGCTTACAGTCAAGAAATGCATGCGGCTAGCATAGGTGAGAGACACGGGAGACCTTCCCCTGGAGCGGAGAGACAAGTGGGGTCCCGCCCCTGCCCAGCCTCCACACCGTCAAGACAGCCCTGTCCTGCTCTTGGCTCGTTGCGGGCCCTGGAGCGGGGTGGGGGGGTGGGGGCGGGGGGGGGGGGGGGAGATTGTTCCAGCAGCCCCCCTCAGTGCCAGCCCCCCAGTCCCATCACCATCCCTTCCAGCATCTCCCCTCGGACCTGCCTCTCCATCCCCAGAGCCTGGACCGCCGCCCGCTCGCTCTCCACACGTGATGGTTCCTTTTAGGCCAGCGGCTCTCAACCTGTGGGTCATGACCCCTTTGGGGGTCTCTTTCACAGGGGTCGCCCGATTCATAAAAGTAACGAAATGACAGTGATGAAGGAGCAACAAAAATAATTTTATGGCTGGGGGTCACCATCACGTGAGGAACTGTCTTAAAGGGTTGCGGCATGAGGAAGGTGGCAAACCACTGTTTTAGGCATTAACCTGGTGAGGCTCTCGGGCGGGACACTGGACTGGCTATTGCTCCGCGGTGTGTGTGGTACATGGTGTGGCGTAAAGGACGGACTATCACTTGATGTGATGTAATCGGACGCCGTCACTTTCCATTCTGTGCTGCGATGGGAGCAGCCAATTGAAAAGGGGCATTTCCTTGGGGGTGTGGTCAGCCTCCAGACCATCAATGACACGTCCTGTCAGAGCTGGTTCGCTCTGCTGTCCCTCCGACTGCACCCTCCGCGCTGACTGAACTATAGCTCTTCGACAGAGGCCGGCCTGACCTAGAGGCTTGGGACCTGGCAGCCCTCACAGCTGTGGAGCCTGCCCTTGAAGTACTTCTTGATGTGCAGGGTGTCTATGTAGATAAGGGAGATAGATAAGGAGACCTGCCATCACGTCGATTCCCAAGCACAGCGGCCGACAGGTCAGGGCAGAACTATGCCCCTGGGGGTGTCCGAGACGGAAACTCTTTACTGGAGCAGGCAGCCTCGCTTTTCTCCCAAAGAGCGGCTGGTGGTTTTGAACTGCTGGTCTTGCAGTTAGCAGCCCCTGAAGCCTAACCCCGACACCACCGGGACTCCTAAACACACATACAAGTAAGTACTCTGTGGTCGTGCAGAACTGCCCCTGTGGGCTTCTAAGCTGGGCATCTTGACGGAAGCAGACTGCCTCACCTGTCTCCCCTGGTGGGTTCTCACTCTATCGTTTATATCTGTACACACGTGCACATACACAAAAGGCACGTGGAAAAGTAAAATGAAAAGAGAAGGAAATTTTCCCACCCTGGCATGTCTGCGTCTCACTGGTCCCGCTCGTAGAGAACCCGAAGGCAGTGCCTGCTGGCCCCCAGGTGTCCCCCTGCATCAGCTCCCAGACACCCGGCTTCCCTTCTCGGTGCCCTCCCTGCTGGTGCCGCCACCGCCGCCACAGCCCTTTCTTACCCGTGGCCTGGGCCACTGCCTTGAGGAGGACGCCGTCCCCGACGCCAAGCTCCAGCCCCTGCTGGGGGGGCCCGAGGAGGTTGAGGCTGAGGTAGAGGACGGGGAGGAGGTCTGGCGGGGACAGGGCCACCACGGAACGTAGCAGGTTGCTCAGGGTCTCCACCATCCGGAGCCTGCAGGGAGGGAATGGGGTGGGGTGGGGGGGCGTGAGGGCCTGGCTCTCCAGGGGCGGTGAGGAGAGGGCTGGTGAACAGGTCAAGTCCGGGGGGGACCTGGACCATGGGAATGTCATAGACCCCTGGTTATTGTGTGCCCTAAGCCACAAGATCCCCCTTGGGGCTCAATCTTCAGCAATACAATAGTCAGTGTGTAAGGGAAACAACAGCACTAGGGGAGGCCCTCCTTAGAATCATCCGGAAAGTTCCAGAGGGCTGGGCCAGCAGGAGTGGGAACAGGATGCATAGGGAGGTGGCGGGAGGAGCAGGGGGTGGCTGGCAAGGACCTGACGTGTGTGGACTGTCGGGACAAAAACACCTGTGCTGTTAGCCTCCTCCCAGTTCACAAATGAGTTAAAAACACAACAACAAAGAGGTCTCATTTAAACCCAACCACGTCCCTTCATTAGATCACGTCTGCCGTGAGCACCAGGGTCTTTCAAGACCCCTCCCCCCGGGTCAGAGTGACAAGAACGACTGGACAGGTGAGACAGGAACCTTCCGGGGCAGTGAGTTCATGTCAATGGCGGAGGAGCCAGCTCACAGAGGCCGGCCCCCCAGGGACCAGGGGTTTCTGTCTCCTGCAACACTGCCGTGTCCCTCACACAGAGAGCAGTCACTTTGGGGGACAATCATCTACCGCCATCAAGTGGATCCTGACTCACAGGGGAGCCCATAGAACAGGGCACAACTGCTCCCAAGAGAGTAACTCTTCACTAGAGCCAAACTCATTGCCCCCAAGTCGATTCCAGCTCCTATGACCCCACAGGAGAACCGCCCCTCTGGGTTTCCGAGGCTGTAACTCTTTACAGGAACACAGTCCTAACCTTCTCCCGCTGGAAGGGTGGCTGGTGGGTAGGACTCTTCTAAAGGGATAGATGCGCAATGCTTGTCTTGGTAAGGCTGGGGCAGGCCATTCTCAAACTGGGAGCAGGGTGTTTGTGAAGGGCAGAAGTGAACCAGTCCAGTTTCCCAGAATGGAAGATACTGTCCCTCCACCACCAGTGGAACATTCCATGGATGGTGGGGGGATGCAAAAGCAGACACCTACATTTTATCCTCCATGAGGGGCTACAGCACACGTCTTTAATTGCCAGCGGGGGTGGGGGTGGGGGACTGGGTAGTTTGTTTTTTTGTTCTTTGGAGCAGGGCAGTTAGTTGGCCAAATAAGTTTGGAAACCTCTGCTCTACTCTTTAAGGAATCTTGGTGGCACAGAGTCCAAGATTCGATGACAGCAGCGGGTTTAGATATTCTCGCAGAGTCGAGGAGTGGTTAAGTGCCTGGCTGCTGGCTGAAAGGTCGGCGGTTCGAAGCCACCAGGCACTGGGTGGGAGAAAGACAAGGCAGTCTGTTTCTGGAAATGTCCACAGCCTTGGAGACCCTCCGGGGCAGCACTACTCTGCCCACAAGGGCCAGTGGCGGCTGTGCGCTGGAATCTTACTTTAGCCATAGTGGACTCTGAACGATGAAGGCCTGGTGGACTATATGTGTTAATCCTCGTGTTTTTGTGTAAGTGCCTAACATGTCATGGTGACTGGCTCCCGGAGCGGTCTAAGAACTCTTGACATTGTAGTTGAATGAGTGATTGAATGCATGTGTGAATGAATACCTACACTTTGCACGATAAACTTTTCCTCATATTCTAAAAAGACACGTTTCTGAGTCACGGAGACTGTGGGTCTCCCTCACAGCCACTAATGGGAGCCTGTTTCTCAACATGACTCTAATTAGCTGCCATGGCTCTTACAGCACAGCGATGGTCTCGTCTTGACCATAGACGCTCAGTCCCTGAAGTAGGTGCTCAATAAACAACCATACTCGTGTGGGAAAGGAGATGGGGGAGTTGCGGCCAACAGTTTTGTCCACTGCAATGTAGCAGCCCCTGCCCACCCCCCACGGGGCTTATCTGCCCACTTACCGTGCAGAAACCTCCTCGATCTTCTCAAAGGTCCGGGCCACCGCCAGATAGGGGACCCTGGGGCAGGGAAAGATGCATTAGAGCCATGTGTCCTGCACCAGCTGTCCCGCAACCCCACCTCCCACACTCCTCCCTGGAGACAACCTTGCCGAAACCTGAACGCAGGCCAGCCACCGGGTTTTCCCCATGCCCGTGTGCCTGGAACAGGGGGAGAGAGACTTAACCACTTGGAGCCGTGATGGAATAGGAGCCCTGGTAGCACAGTGGGTCACACACTGGCCTGCTAACCTCGAGGTCAACAGTTCAAAACCACACTGCGCCACAAAAGACTCTTTCTACTCCCAGAAAAGAGTTCCATATGGTCTTAGAAACCCACTGGGGCAGTTCCACCCTGTCCTATAGGGTCGCCACCAGTTGGCATGGACCCATATGGGTGAGCTTTGAGCAGAGATGGGATAGGCCGGACTGGGTGGGACAAGCCTCACTTCTGGCCAGGTTTCCAGCAGGCATCCTCCACAGGGTGGTAATTATTCTTGGCAGGATTGTAGCGGGCTGGGTCCAGGGGCCTGAGGAGCAGAAAGGACAGCAGAAGACGGGTCACTACTCAGGCCACAGAGGGCTCACTCCTCCCACTGTGAGCCCCTGAGCAGCCAGAGACCTCAGGGGGCGCAAACGGTTTGCAGTCGCTACTAGCTTCGAGGCCGGCGGTTCTAGCCCACCTGGTGGCACTGCGGAAGAAAGGCCTGGCAACCGTGCCCATGACGCTCACAGCCCTGAGAGATGACACCAGGGAT